ACCAATATTGCAAAGGCAATAAACCAAAGTTTGTGCAAGAGGAATGACATGCATAATAATTAAACCAGTGGACAGGGGAGATGCTGTGGCTCAGTGGTAGAGCACCTGCTTGGCATGCAAAAGGTCCCGGATTCAATTCCTTGCATCTCCATTTCAAAGGACCAAGTAGGAGGAGATGTGAAAGACCTCCACCTGAGATGTTGGAGAGCTGCTGCCAGTCTGAGTAGACAATACTGATTTTGATGGGCCAAGGGTCTGATTCAGTAAAAGGCAACTTCATGTGTGTTCATGTGTCATGTGCTACAGATTTTATGCTTGGCTTTTGTTATGTGGCATACCTGAGGATGCCAGGTTAAAAAACCACAACAATGCTGCTTTCAATAAGAGTCAAACTAGATGAACAAACAGAATTTCAGATCTTCTGAGCAGGGTTCCCTCTAAGCTGAGTTAGTGTGAGCTAGCTCACAGTTTTTTAGCCTCCAGCTCACACATTTTTGTCTTTGCTCAGGAAGGATGGCTCCAGAGCAAACTAATTTATGCAGCAGCCAAATCACTCGCTCACAACTTTAATGCCAGTAGCTCACAAAGTAGATTTTTTGCTCACAAGACTCCTCAGCTTAGAGGGAACATTGCTTCTGAGCATTTTTTCTTTGTAAACAGCAGTCCATGTACCATTTTCCTGGTCCCCCTTGGGGTCAAGATGCAGAAAACATACATAGGGTGGATCCTGTGCTTGCATGACTGGAAACAACTGGTGCAGCAAGACCTGCTCTGCCTGCCTCTATGTCAAGCAGCCCCTGTGCACCCTGAAAACCTCGGCTGATAATCAGAGGATCCTAATGAACAAAATGTTATGTGGGACTGTGGGCAGTGAGGAGAGGACATCACATCACATAAAATAACCTTCCCTTACTCTTAATGCAGACACAGCAAGGCTCTTCAAAAATTCCCCTGTAAATGCTAAACAGCCATTAAAATTTGCTTCTTCTTTTTTTGCTGGTAACAAATTGTAAGTAATCACATACATGTGCAGCTTCAAAATCTTTTCATACATATACTAGTCATAAAATATGGTGCCACATGGGCTTCTTTTTTTAATCAGGATTCCGAAGTCCAGCCTTGATTGTTTCACTATCAACATTTATAAAACTTATATTTTAGTTGTAACGTTTAAGAATGTACAGAGGGAGAACATGATACATGCAATATTCCTGGTATACACAACTGCCATTTTGTCAAAAGGACAAACATGTCTTTTCGCCTTTAGTACACACAAACCGGAACCCTGCAAGATCCAGTATTTGTATATTAAGGCTGAAAAGATGCATGTTGCCCCTTTCAGACAAAATGGTGATTGCACATATTGGGAAGATCTCTCAAAGCACATTTCCTCCCGTATTTGCAGTACAAAAGATTGACTGAAAAGAGCTAAAAATCACTCATGTAAGAATGTCATAAACCACTTGAAGAAGTGTAAAAATAGCAAGCAGGGAAAACTGCAAATCTAGGCCATCCATTTATGCTGGTGTTTGGTAAAATTAAAACTGACAGTGTTAGAACACTGTGATTGATTTATTGCTTTGTAATCAATCTCCTTTGGTCTATTTTCCAATGGAGATCCCTCCCCCACAAATAAGTGGGGGATAGAAAGTGTTTATCAGTGTTATAATCTATATGTCTGTTGCCTAAAATAATTCGTCAGAGGCAAGACTATTCATAAAAAGTGCATAATTTAATTTAAAACATTTGTCAGTGTCAGCACATCTAACAAATTACAACACCAAATGCTATTGCCAACATTTTATTATTACGTTTAATTTGGTGATAGAGAATTTCTGGGCATATATTACAGAGTCTTCAGATACATAAAAAATGAACAGTGGCTAGAAGTATTAAATCATGTGCTGATTATATCTTGAGGGGGGGAAAAGAAGCTCGTATTGCAAGGGCAACAAGAGTAGGTTACTAATTTTCTCTGAACATGACAAATGATATTGAAGCACTTAGCAGGATTTTTAACACAATCTTTATCTGATACTAACAACAAGATTTTCTGTTTCCATATTAGGAAGATCAGAGAGACAACACTGCTCAGTAGAGCATAAGAGTTGAGTTCAAATTCCTGCTCAATCAGCTAAGGCCACAATCCTGAAACTAGCTCCACGGCAGACAGGAATTGTTCTCAGACTTTCTGAAGTGGGCCCTGTTGTGAAGGGGGAGTGTAAGATGCTTAGAGATACCCCCCTGGGGGCCCTGATCTCAGGGAAGAACACACTTTCCCAGGGAAGGGAGTAATAAACTGCTTCACTTGCTAGCTTAGCTTAGTTACTTTCCTGCAAGGAGGTGCTCATTTGCCCAGCTATCAGAAATGGCAAGACGGATGGCCATTTGGATGACCTGAGTGGGGCAATAAAGGAGGGAGACATGCACTTCCAGTTGACTGGAGAAAAGAGTACTAAGTGACCCAGAAGGGACATCACTTCCCAAACTTAGGATGGGGAAAAGGGAAACCCACCCAGCTGGGGCATGAAGGGTTAAGAGATCTGGACATTCAGTTAGCAGAGCTCAAGACAGACCAGGAACCAGGGAAGGAACAGAGTGATGTCTGCCCTGGCTAACCGGTATTTCATATGCTCCAGCAGGCTTGTGTCCATCCCGAGGAGGGGATGCCAAGTAACATACATGTTTCTAAAGGTTAAACTAGCCCCAAGCATTGTTATTTTTTCCCCCTTAGTTGTGCAATAGTGCTGTGATATAACTCTTTCCTATGTACATATGCTCTAGAGTGTAAAGCTGAGTTATAGAAGATAAAGACTTTTCTCTTTTTAAGAACTCAGACTAAGTTTAAAGAACGTCATCTGCACATCTGGCTGTTTCTCCCAGACATATACTACAGTGTCCAGGCTAGGCTGGAGAGTAAACAGGAGAAAGGAAGGCAGAAGCTAGGAGCATCCATGCTCCTCATACCCACATGAAGCTTAAGCAGTGCCCCAAGCCACTGGTCAAGGGGGCGAAAGCAAATCTGCTTGGGTGGTAGCAGTCCAGAATACCTGGTGGGAAGTGGGGGAGAAGTGGGGCATGCACCCACACACGCACGCCACCCTGCCTGCTCTGACAGGGCAACCATCTAAACTTCCTACACAGTGATCTCATTTACAGATTGAACTCCATGCCACCTTCCTCTTCCCCAGCACAAGATACGGGACTCTCATATAAGTTAATGAGTCTATATTTTATGTTTTATGTTTAGAATGTATAAATATATAGTACTACTGAACACCAAGACTATCTCATGACCATTTGACACATTGTGAACATTCAAATCCAAATTTGCTATTGGTCCTCCCAGAGACTTTCCCACCAGCACACTATGTTCCTCCTCCTCATACTTGGCCTTAGTCACAACCAATGTTCCCTCTAAGCTGTGCAGTCCTGTGCGCAAAAATTCTACTTGGTGAGCTGCTGGCATTCAAGTTGTGAGCAGGTGATTTGGCTGCTGCATACATTAGTTTGCTCTGGAGCCCTCCTTCCTGAGCGAAGGCAAAAATGTGTGAGCTGGAGGCTAAAAAACTGTGAGCTGGCTCACACTCACTCAGCTTAGAGGGAACACTGGTCACAACTGCTCTTTGGGTCTGCCCCCCTCCCAGGTTGAAAACAACTGTTAACAGTGACTGAATAGAAACAATTGTTTCTATAGAACACCCTAATTACTTTCTCCTAATTTCTGCAATGGCCCTGTTCCTACTGTAGTAACTTGGTAACTGTGCCAATATAATGGAAGATGGAAGGAAGGGAGGGTCCCTGTTGATTCTGGTGTCCTACTTGCAGAGTTGACTCCATACAAATAAATGAACTGGAAAAACTGATTACAACTTATATAAGACGGACACAAAGAAATCCAAATTTGGATTTAAAAAATCACTAATGGAAATGACACAATTTGGTGTGTGTGTGTGAATTGCCTATCAATGTATTTTGTCTATGTTAGTTTGCAGGAGCTGCATCAAACTGAAACAGCTGGAATCTTGCAATCCTTGAAACAATGTATAAATATACCTGAAGGAGTGCAACTGAGCCCATGTGGGAGTATGATAAGGCATGCAAAATATGTAAACTTTGTGGTTCCATAAGAATATATTGGCTCTGAAGAAGAAGAATTGAAACTTTCGTGACCAACAAGAGATGTCAGCCAGTTTTCTTAGCCTCCCTGCAGACCTGAGAGTTTGGAAACTAAGAAGCAGTAAAGGCACATGCGGCATTTGCGGCGGGAGAGGCATGAATGTCGGGCGGAGTATATGGGCACGATCACAAGGACACATCTGGCAAGCGTAGAACACCCACTGCCAACCCGTAGCATCTGCCCAAAGAGCTGGAGTTAAAAAATACCCGGGAAAGCCTACTAGCAAACAGTTTGCTATGGGCCGTCGACGGAATACGTAGCTGTGATTGCTCAAGCACGCTCTTGACGTGCGCCGAAAACATGCGCTGACAAACAAAACCCTATTTTGCCGCCACGGCGTCTGATCACGTTCTGGCGGGTTAAATTGTGCTGTCGTGAAAAGCCACGCCTCCCCCCAGCATTATCTGGCCCGTGTGACCGGGGCCAACAGCTGTTTTCAAGGACTGCATACAGCTCATTTACTGGTCTTGCTCTAGGAAGGTTTCTTTGTGTACACTTGTACTTGTGTATTTGTTTCAAAGCCTCAGTGCTTTAACAAGTAATAAGTATATGCGAATCATACTAAAAGATTTACCTTCTTATCTCTATGCATGATTCTTTCATTAACTGTATTCGAGACATATGCCTTTAAGTAGCACCTGAGTGTTACCTGACCTTGAGTAATTTGTGCTCTCCCTGGTGTGTTTTGTTTTTGTTATTGTACTTTTTCAGCAATAGCTGTTTCAGATTTTAAACTTTTCAAGCTTTTAAAAAATAGAGTTGGTTTTCATGTGACATTAGAGCTGAGGCATCTTGAATATATGGGGAAGAATGTCATTACCTTTCACCACCAGATTTCCAGTGCTGCTGGCTGCCCCAAAATGGTTTGTGGCGGTGCATGTGTAACTTCCAGCATCTGCTTTGGTAACATTGGCAATTTTCAGAGTTCCATCTTCTAGAAGAGTTATTCTGAAAAGACGAGAACTGGGGTCAGACTTTTAAAAAAAGGTAGTGTATCACTCGACATTAATTATTTATAGTTTGAACAGCTGAGAAATCACTGCCAACTACAATGAAAGTTGACGAGAGAGGATTCTCAGGAGGCTAAAATGCATTAATACTACATACACCATTTACATGAGTTCTACACGTCTTTACTTCAGGGCAACTCCACTTTACAGAGTGTGGATATGCTTCTTTTTTATCCATATGACAACCCTTCCAAGATGTGCTGCACATGTCTTAGAAACTTTTAGCCATAAACATTGAGGGAAACAATCCTAACACTGTTCACTATTTGGAGGATTTAAATTAGGAAGGTAAGGCAGAGATGGTAATTGACCTTAGGTGACACATTTAAGAATGGAATAACATCATGATAAATGATAGCAGAAGTCTATGCACTACAGCAGTAGAAGGTCAGAAAGATGACCTTGGGAACCTCATGAACAAGAAGAAAATGGTCATCACCAGTTGCTATTTCCCCCCCCTAGTAAGCAAAGTTCCAGTGCATCTATTTTCTTGTCAGATCCCCCATATGTATACTGAGAGTAATATTGACTTACTTCACTAACTGGGAAGATGGGAGTAGAAAATGTCTGCTAGGGAGATTCTGATAAACTTCTAGATCTGTAACAGACACTATGTTTATGCTGTAAAATATCAAGGGAAGCAACTGGCTTTCCAGCAGTACTCAGCACAAGAAGGCTTTCATATTTATTAATTAATTAATTAACACTGCTTTTTTTTTGTTACCGGCAATGCATGACAATGTTTTACTTGCTTCATTAACAGTGATTGGCATATTGTGATGAAAGAAACAGTCACACTTCTTCCGCTGCCATGCACAAACATACAATGTAACCATGCTTTGTGACATGTGGGAATTGCGTAGCACTGCCATCTTATAAAAAGTATGTTCAGGTGTCAACAGCAGCTATCTCAGGATCCCCAGCAAAGGCAGGCTGTTCACTACACATAAGGCTGTTTCCATACATCACTGGATCATGCATGCTCAATGCAGTACAACAGTCATTTGCAACGGGATTTTCCTGTGTGAAACTGGAAAATCAAGTTGCAAACAATTGCTATGGTGCATTGAGAGTGCATGATCCAACAATGTGTGAAAGCCCTTCAATACTTTCTAAAGTGTGATCTCCTTTTCTAAGATGCAGACCTGTGTATCCTAATACCCTTCAAATGGATTTCCACCAAGGACTGTGCATATGACCTAGGCCGTGTCTCTTCATTTTTGCCTTGCAGCACCAGAACCAACATGATTCACATGCCTAAAAAAACTCTACGTTTTAGTTTTGAGCCGGTGAATAACATTTGCTTTGGTTTGGTCTGTATGTCCAGGAGCCCTAGATGATATTGTGCAAAGTCTACAGCCCAGTTTCACAGAAGCCATTAACCTATGTGAAGGCTGCACTTTGGATTATAGTTCCATATTACTGTCTGCTTCTCCACATAGCGGGAAAATAGTAATCTTTGTGGTTTTAAAAAAAATATATTGAAGAACATTTAATAATATGAGCCACGTAGGCTAATATTTGCCCTGACCTGGATGACCCTGGTTAGCCTAATCTTGTCAGATCGCAGAAGCTAAGCAGGGTCAACCTTGGTTGGTACCTGGAAGGAAGACCATCAAGGAAGTCTAGCGCTGGTATGCAGAGGCAGGCAATGACAAATCACTTCTATTTGTCTCTTGCCTTGAAAACCCATGGGGTCGCCTTAAGTTGGTCACAATTTGACAGCACTTTCTACTACTGAGTTGATATTGTATTTTGCCTTGCATTCTGAAGTATCATACTTTTTCTGCCTGACACACTCAAGATTATGGTAAACATTTGTGTGTCTTTCAGGCTGTCTGTAAGAATAAGTTGCAAGCAATAAAATACATGATGGAAATAATAAATGTTTTCTGAACCACCAAAGGGCTGCAATTTGCAGGGCTTTTAGCAAAAGAAGACTGGCTTCACTGGAACAATAATTGGTTTTGAAGATTTATTGAGTCAAAAAACAATATTGGCATGTACAACATAATCATGAAATAGTGGAACAATATCCAGACATGAACTGTGTTGATAAACTGGAAACTTGGTAAGAAGAACCTGACCAGCTGGAGCAACTGCTAGAAGTTGTTTGAACATATTAGGAAACTCTAACATTTAAAACAGATGAACTCAAATTTAACTTATGGAAAACTATCTTTATGGTTTTAAAATATAAAATAAAAGTTCTGGGGAACGGCCAATATTAGATTCATCAAGAATGACTTCCCTTAGGGAGTTAACATCCATTGATGTAATGGCTGTTTTTGATAACTATGACCTGCCCAAATTCTTTTGAAATGTCTCTGTTTTGAATTGTTAATCATAAATGTTGAATGAACCTAAAAACTCTGTTTATCTAGCTGAAATGTGCCTGTCAATCAGCTTCTATGCCATCTTTCATGTTACTTAATTACATTTCATTTTTCATTCTCTATTCATAAGATTCTATTCATAAGATTTTCTATACTTATGTTATTTTCTACTTTCATTACATTTTAATGCTTTGAATTATTGCATGCCGTTATTTAATTAATAAAAGAACCCCTCAATTGCCTTTTGTTCTGATTTCTGACTCAGGGAATTCTACAGAAAAGGGATTAGGATTCTAAACCAAGGATAAATCCTTCCAAAACACTCAGGGGGTTCTCATCAGACTGAGTACTCACTTGGTACAACAACCCAATATAGGCTTTCTGTCTCAGTGAAGTGAGATCTAGGCCTAAGTAATTAATAGATTTGCATCAGGTTAGGGCAGTCCGAATGCTTAATATATTAATATTCACACGAAGCAACCATATATGTGATTGCTTAGTCATATAAGAACTTAGTACAGATGAAGTCACAATAAATGTAAGATTGTTATCTCTATTAGTACAACATACATAAAAATTAATGAAATCCTGCACACTTTAAACATGTTGAATTCTTCCAATCTCAAGAATGGCATAGTCATATGGGTTATCTTGGTTCATCACAGTACAGCTGTGGAGAGCTGTGGAGTGTGGAGAGTTGCCAGCTAATGACTGGCACCCAGCGGGAGATAGGGGCTTCTTGTGTTAGGCATGGCATAACATCACTTCTGGGGGAAACTGGAAGGGGTGTCACATTGCTTGGGAATCCCCAGAGTCTAAAATTATAGCATTTCTTGTGATTCCTGTTGTCAGAGACCTGAGCCCAGGTCCACCTGGCTTATTGTTCCTGGTCCCCTGTATGGAACTCCTGAACAACTTCCCGTACTTGTGGGTCCTCCAGGTTGGATGCACACAAGAAAACCAGACCTTGTAAAATATATAAAGGTTTATTAGCTTATTAAAAGAACTGACTATGCAGTACAGTCTTTAAGGCTTAGCAACAAGAAAACAAAGAAGCTAACCTTTCTATCTAATACACTGATTACCTTAGTATTAGATGGCCAATCTCTTGCAGCATAAAATCCATACAAGTAGAATAAAAGCAACCTATATGATGTAGTCCATCATGATGAAGCATAACATATCTAGGCACACTAGCATGTCATTAGCATAACACTTGCATAACCCTCTATGGCCTACACCCTTATTATGGCTTCTTGTCCTTTGGCATCAGGTTGTCATGGGCCAGCCAGCTGCCTCCTCCTCTGAGGATGAGGAAGTGGTAGAATCAAGCCCTGCACCTTAGCAGCTGGGTCTATAAGCAGATACAGCAAGAGCCAGGAAGCAAGAGTTGCTCATTCTGGCAGGAGACAAAAGATCAGCGTGTCAGTTACCGCTGGCTTCTCCTGAACCAGCAGAACATGGAGAGAGCGCCCAAGATGAAAAAGTGCCTGTTTAGTTGTGCAGCAGCGATCAGTGCTGGTTCTTGGAGTAGAGTTGTTACAGGCGCAGGAATGACAAGCTGGTAAGTAGCAACACCTGGGCTTCAGGGGATGAGTCAGCTAATGAGGCAGATTAAAAGAAAACACTGAACTTAATGGGGAAGCAACCTTGCTCTCCACCCCCTCTGTGAGCTGACTCACTCAGTGAACAGATTACTACCTTGCCTTGCTGCGTTGCACCCTTGTCCTGTTAACCTGTGCTTGCTTTTCCAGCTAGAAATCCAGACCCTGTTTTCTGTTCTAGCTTCCAAGCTTTGGACCCTGGACCCCAGAGTTTCCCGTTCTCCCAACCTTTGACCTGAACTTTTGGCTCCCTGACTCTGTACTGGCTTGTTGACCTTGCTCTTGTCTCTTGCCTTGATTGATTGTAATTATATTTGTGCATCCCGGAGGCCTTGTGTAGAGTACAAGCATTAGGCTCTGCCCTGAATGCAACACAGGTGGTCTCTCAGGTCCAATCAAGACTCGTCTTCATTGGAACTTTCCAGAGGGTGTTAGTAACTGCTCCTAATCCCCCACAATCTGGTTATACAACTAAGCATAGGTTCCCGTGATTAACCAATTATCACATTCTTGATTCTGGCCTTGAAAGAGATAAGAATGGCAGCTGCAGGGACACTGAGCTCATGAACACCTGTAAGCTGGACTGGGCCTTTTAATATTCATGTTAACCCATGAGGGGAGATTCCGGTGCTTGGCCTCACAGCTGTGTAGTCATTTCTGGTTTCCCTCAAAACTAACATCATGTCAAGCATAATGTCAGCATTTAAAAAAAAATCTCTAGCCAACCAAATGAGCAGTGGCTGGGACGGAGAGTTGCCAGCAGGGGACCTGGCAACCCTGGGAGTGCTGTAGTCTGTAGACTCCATAGATCCATGTGGTTCACTGTAACAACTACAGGGCCAGTGCAGGCAATGCAATCTTAAAGACTATAATGCAGATTTCAAGCATAAGATGCTATCTTATAGACATTCTCCATAACGTTACATTCCTAACAGGTAGAGGAGGTCAAAAAGAATAATATTTATCTGCCCTGTTACACAAAATCAGAAGGTAGAATT